AAAGCGCTAAACTGCGATAAAAGTTACTTCAGGTGAGGTCGCTACAGCTGCAACAACGCTCTGAAGCTGAAAATTGAAGTTATTCTTGAAGACTAATTCCACCTCTCAATTTTTGAAAAATTTACTTCACAAGGATTGTTTCCAGTCTGCACCTAATGTCTAGAACGCACGCTCCCGCATGACCACGTGAAGACACAACGTCATATTGCTCTCAAATGAAGTAGGTGGATAGAGGATCATTCAAAACGCGCCATTTGGTCATCATCATCACCATCATCATCATTACCGCATTTGTAGTAGGAGCACCGTTGAAACTACAGCAACCATTTCTTTCCACATGGAACGGGTATTTCGCTGTTCGCACAAACTATGCCATCCCGCGGCCCGTGCATGGCTTGATGTTCTCTGCCCAACTCATTTCGGGTCTTCCTCTCTTCCTGTTGCCGTCAACCATGCCTTGTAGAACTGTTTTTGCAAAGCTTCCCTCTCTTCGGCAAACGTGGCCAAACACTGTAGCCTCCCGCGCCTCACGATCGCTGTAGTTGTCTCAATTTCATTAGACCTGTGCGTGATTTTCTCTTACCAAGGGGTTTGTTCAGTGTTCTGTGTACGGTATTTTGAGTAGCCTCCGAAAGCATCTCATATCAAACGCCTCTGAGGCATTGCAACTCAAGTGGTCAATTTTTAGTCACTTTCATTGGGTTTCAGACTCCGATTGAAAAGTTGTGGGCATGTAGTTCACTGAGGATGGATTTCGGTAAGAAAAAAATTGCATGTTTCGGTTAAAACGGCTCAGGGCACATATTTTGCAAAAGGCGTATTTTCACGAATTTTCTGATCCAGCAAAACAGAGGGCGCATGAAAGTTGAAAGACTTGGCAAATAAATACTTGATGGATAGCTGCGTGAAGAAAAAATTACACTTTTCTCATATATATTGACGATCGTGACAGACTGACTGACGTTTACTCAAAAAGGAGAAAAATGTGTAATGCTGAAACTGGATGGTATGGAATTCCCTGAGTCTCCATTTCATAAGAAAAATTTGTTTTCGCTAAAACCCATTAGGGCACTTTTTTTTAAGTACCATTTTCCTGAATTTTTTTTGATCCAACGAAACAGAGACAGAAAATTTAAACTTCCCTCAGAAGTAACTATTTACTGGCTGAGTACAGGAAAAATCCTACCTTTGAAATATTCGAATTATGAAATCAGGCATGCGTAAAAATGCCAGGTCAGATGGCGGCCCACCTGCAAATGTGGTCAAACGTTGAAGTGCAGACTGCTATTTGGTTTCTTCATGCGAGAGGCACAGAAATCCATCGCCTTGTCGTAGATATTCATGGAGAACATGCCATGTCTCGAAAAGAAGCATGGGTGTGGTGCAAATCCTTCGATTCTGGGCGATTGAGTGCCCAGAGCCCAATTGTACGCATGCGCAGTTTCACACAGCGATAAGTCCGCGCGTGAAACGGAAGCCCCACCATCACTGTACTACGTCACGAAAAAAGTTCCTCGGCACAAGCAATAACTTCTTCGCAGCAGGCCTTGTTACCTTATATATTGAACACCCCTCGTATTTGTCCTGCATTATGAAACATGCCGCAGTGCTAATTTCTTTTGAGATTTCTCTCATGAGATTAAGTACGAGCATGAAATCTGAGCGCTCTCAGATATTAGACACGAAGCAATCGTATTTCAGTTCCATGGTACCTTCATGAAAATTACTTTCTAGAACTACGGACTCAAGCCCAATTAAACGTAAGCATTTCTTCAGGACCATGCTAATGGTATGAAAATATCTCACCAGTTCGGAATGCTAACCTCGTGGGACATAGGCCTGAACGCATGTTCGGTTTCGGGCTGCAAATTCTGGTTTATGCACGTACGAGAGCTACTCGGAGCGACTCAGGTTGCGGCTTCCTGGCAGCGGACTTCGCAACTTCTCTTAGAATGGAGGAGAAGGCCGAGCTCAGGCTTGAATGGATGTGGGAATGGTTGAGCGGGCTTTAATGACAAGAATTACCTTTATTTACGGATGTCCCCAGCTTCTTGTTTCTTCTAGCTGGTGAGTGCGAAAACATGATAATAATGCGAGAAAAAAATAGATCTGATGTTGCTGTGGATATTGCGATACACACAAGTCGACATTAGTCGACATGAAATGGACATGGAATGTCGTCTAAAAAGTCGCAATTAAAGCCCGATTTTTATTCCATTTGGAATCCAGAGTTCCCCAACCCCAAAAGTCGCGTCAAATTTTAGACTCATCGGGTCAAATGCTACAGGGTGGTCGATATTTAGTCTCACCAATTAACTTCCGATTTTAATAAGCCAGTAACTCAAGAACGATTTATAGCAGAACCGTGGTTAAACCTGACGATGGTCCTAGAAGATGCGAACAGATATAGGAAAAGTCACAGGGGCTGGCTCTACAGAGCACAGAGGTGAGAGGGAGAAATTCCTCCTCGGAGTACGGGGTTTGTTCGAGTCGAGTTGCAACACCTACGATTGCGACATGTCGGATTTTGGGGGGGGACCTATGCGCGGGTTTTTCGTCACTGATGATTTATTCCTGCCTTGACTTGACACTTGAAAAAGGTCGTTTCCGAAAAGGGGGGAACGGCACCATCAAAATACGATCCAAATAAAGTATCCTAGGATTCCCATAACGTGCAGCGAAAACATGGACAGCACGAAACACTGTGAAGATGCGACAGGAAATGATGCGACAAAGATGCGACAGGGAATATATTAGTTGGTGACAATTAATATCGACCACGCTGTAGCATTTGACCCGATGAATGTAAAATTTGACATTTCCGGCTTTTGGGACTGGGGTACTCTGGATTCCAAATTGACGAAAATTCGTAGAAAAGGTGATGTGTTTTTCCGGTGTTTTTCGAAGTCATCGGTAAACCGATGTTTAAGGCCAAAAATGGTTTGCATGAACGCTATCTTCCTTTAACCATCGTCTAACCGATGTCTAACAGAAGCCGAAAAAGGTGTCGTTTCCAGACAAGGGATGGGGCATGTTTTGCCGATATTTATGCCAGCGTTCGTGTACCATCTCGATGAGTATAGCGCTGCAGTGTACTTGTGAAGCACAATGGATTCTGTTTATGGATCCACTCGATAACGACGATGTGCTCTCGTCGTCGCATGGGAGGAATAAACTTAGGTTCTGGGCTTAATCCCTTTCAAGAATATGTCGATTAGAACTTCTGCGTGAGATACCAATTTGGAAAGGGATCAGGGTATGATGTCGACCTGCTTCGCGCTCAACTCGAATGGAACGAAGATCGTGGAAGGGATCCCTTAACTTTACATCGACAGATAAGAGACACACTGTTCGTGTGCAATGAATCGTGATTTGTTCAAGTACCCATCCCCTGAGTAATTAATTAATACCACGTATGACTCGAAAGTAAAGAGAGTATCATGAAAGTCTTTCGATTTGCATGTTGTGCTGACGCTTCGATTTTATGTTGTGTCGATTCTTAGAAATGGAATGGCGCCAGCCATTGCCCATTTGCATCGCTCATTACATTCCTAGGAGGAAAAACGGAGTAGTTATACGAATATAATTATTTGACATTGTCGGATTTCCAGGAGTGATCGGTGTCATCGACGACTGTCGTTGTCGAATAGAATGCCCAGACAACTTTATTCAATCGCAAATGCTCTGTTTCATCGATGTCCAGGCAGTGCGAGATGCGGAAGGGATTATTACTGAATTTGTCATCACGTGACCAGGATCCACACGCACTTCTCGAATACCCTCATTTTGCAATCGTACACAAATGATACTCCTATTTTTCACATTTCCTACTTCTCCGTGTGTCCAAAACGAATCCTTGGCTTTACCTCTGATATATCGGAATACAGAGTAAGGNACTTCTCCATGTGTCCAAAATGAATCCTTGGCTTTACCTCTGATATATCGAAATACAGAGTCAGGTCAGAGGAGAACTCACCAGTTTCCAGGCATTATTATTTGTTGTGCAAGCAAAGTGCATTCTGTCTCTATCGTGAGATTCTCCTTTACAAGCTCTGCGAGATGTACTTAAAAGTCTGAGGAAAGGTTCTCCTTTTTCACTTGATTCGCTCGTTTTTGTGGAGTCCGAAGAATATTACGCGACAACCGAGGAGTCAGAACATGCTATATGTACCATGAGGGGTGTTTAGCCATCGTCTAACCATCGGCTATGAAAACATGGCTTAGGGATCGTTCACGCAATCGAAAGTAGACAGCAGTTAATCGATGTTTTCGTAGACAATGTTTAAACAATGACTATCGATAGTCAATGTCTAAAATAAACATTGTTCATGCAATCGGCCCTTTGTGTTTTTTGCATGTTGCTTCTCAGAAGTAGTAATTTACTGGACTATTTCAACCTGAGCACTAACATCTTGACATTTCAATTTCAAGCTTGCGAAGATTTCACATCTCATAAATAGTTTTTTTTTTACTGAATGACATGCTTAAAAAACAAATAGACATCAAGGTTATCTTATTAGTTCTTGTGAAACTTTGCAGTTTGAAATTATAGTATTTTCTTGCAAAGTATTTGGCTTTCAAAGTGGGGATTCATGAAAGCATAATTCCATATATTTTCAGAAATATAAATTGAAGTTACATTATGTTGCATTCAGCCTCTGAGGGGGTAATGCGTGACTAAATAGAATGCTGTGATTGCTGTGGTTTGTAGCTGTTTCTGATCTGATACATAATTTTGAGCCCCTTGTCATGTAAACCTTTTCTCAATGACAAATCTCTGGAGACTGCATTGAGTATGACTTAAGTTTTTTAATGTGAATGGTGGCCTGTGCTTAGTCCTGCTTTGAAGCTTGCATTAAAATATATTTTGCTAAAAACACAGGTGAGACTTTTTAGGTTCATACTTACTCAGAGGCTCTTCCCCAAAAATGTTCCAAGTTACACTAGCTTTTCCAACTATAGAAAGATGGTTAAATTTTGTGTTGAATGGAATCTATGTTATTTTTTTTCTCCATAGGTGTCAATGCTGGTGATAATGAAAGTAGGGAGTTTTTTTTTCCTCCTTTGGTATCTATTATCATTCCACGCATATGCAAAGAAATTCAAAAATGGTGAGAAACCAGATTGGGCCAAGAAAGACATTCGTGACTTCAGTGATGCTGATCTTGAAAGGCTGTATGACCAATGGGAGGTAGGACTACCAAAGATTGCATATTATCACTTGAAATAAGTGAATCCAATCTTACAGACAGCTAATGACTACATCTCCAGCTTATCAGTATCTTCAGCATCCCAATCAATGATTCATGGCCTTAATGTATGCTAGCAAGCAATAGACTTCAGGTTTGAGACTAACATTTATATAAGCTCTTTTTTGTTCATGTTGAACCTAAGCTGACCAGCCTTGTATAGAATCAGGTGTGACCCTTTCAAAATTCATCTGAACCGTGAGAAAAAAAGGATGCAGGGTTTCCTCATGCACAAGTCTCAGACTAGTAGTTTCATCAGCTCATTTTCTTTTTGTTGCATTAAAGCCAAAAATATCAAAACCACAAGAAAAATATGTAGGGAAGGGAAATCAGAAACAACTAAGGCTGCCTGCAACCCTGCTACAGCAGAGTGAGAGCCTATAATGAACCCACCTAGGCCATGGAGGTCCTATCCCATTAATGAGGCCTCTGTAAGACTACACACTAAGAACTCCTCCATATTTTTCTATCCTTCATTTGCATTTAGCTTGGGATGCTAAAGGTCTTGAGTTTGCTCATGATGATGTTACTTAGTCTTACAATTGTTGCTTACAACTGCAGGAGGATGAAGAGCCACTGGAAGAAGATGAACTGCCAGAGCACATGCGGAAACCTCCTCCAATCGATCTCTCTTCGGTCAGTTCATCTTGAAATCATCACCTTCATGCTATTTAGTGCAACCCCTTTGTGGGGGTTAGTTTTGTAAGTTGGAATGTCATAAGAATTGGCTGGCACTACCTAAACCTCTTTCAGAAAATAATAACAGTTGTTGCAACAAATAAATCTGTGAAGTATAATTAGATACCTATCAAAGCAGTTTGGAAATGATTCCATATCATTTCAGTATAGCTCAAGTTAGCTTTATAGTGAATCCAAGAAGGCTGGAACATGAGACTCATGCTGCAACTTCCAAACCAATTTTCAGCTGAAAAGATGACTAGGAAACACAAGTCACATACACCATGCTTGCCACATCCCCTGAAACTCAAGTACCTTAGGCTCTGGTTCTCAAGTGATAGGATGATATGGAAACAAGATTGACAATCACATCTCCAGGGCTTAAGAGGTTTTGTGGGAACTCAGTTGGACAATTGTTGTCAAATCAGAAATTGAGGCAAAGCTTGGCATTTGAGCATTCATTTCTCCCTCACCTTTGGGCTTTGGGTAGTGACTGAAGGAATTAGATTTATAATACAAGCTGCCAGAATGAGGTTCTCTTGTCTGATGGCTGTAAAACTTCCACTGTGATGGGATGCCAAGGGTCATCCATTATTCATGAGAAATTTCAGATCAAGCAGCTACTTCTCTGGATTGAGAGACCTCAAGTTCAGTGATATGGATACATCTGCTACATGCATCTTGAGAGACTCTTAAAAAGAGTTTCTCAGTCCAAGGTCCACTTGCAGAGGACCTCTTAATAGATCATGTGAGGGGGAGAACTATATCATGAAGCTTTGCCACAAAAAAGGCTCAGCAGTCTACAAACAGAGCTTGAGTTTATTGCCCAGGAATGAGACTCTTGAATGATGCACCTGAGCCACTTTCCACCATGACATGGTTGAGTTGGGGTAGATGGTCTCAAAAATGTATGCATGTAAGTATGTATACAATCATGGCTTGTAGAAGACAGTCTTTTCTGCATGTCTGACTACTCAGAAAAAATGAAAAACTGGATCTATTACTATTTTTTTTATTGCATGAGAATAACAGTGACAACAGAAGTAGTGCCTGTATAAACAGAAGTCAGACTCGCCACTTTTTGGGGGGAAACCGGGTGCATGGTTGAACTATGATATTTTGACCTTAAATGGCCTTATATTTCATTTTCTTGTTTTTTTTTTTTAATTACTAGTCCTTTTTTTTTTCCTTATAATTTATACTCACTCAAAGATGGGAAGCTTGTTTTGAACATTTTATGCTTTTTCAAAGAAGGAGTCATTCTTCAATAATTTAAAATATAGCTTCTAATTATGAACTTCCCATGTCTGAACATTTTTCCATTATTCCAGTTTACTTTTGACTGACATCCACCTGTCTTTAATATTTATCTTAAATTTATTTTAGCTGGATACATCAAACCCTGAAGGATTGCTGAAAATGACAAAGCATGGGAGGACACTTATGAGTTTTGTTACCCTTCTGGGCACCCCCACCCAATCAGAAACAGAAAAAATCACTGGTCTATGGCAATCCAGTCTTCACAACAGTCACATTCAGGCTGAGAGGTAAGTTTATTCAATGTGTGAGAAATTCCATTACTGAATGCTACTAATCTCAAGACATTTTCAATACCTCAGGTATGTAATAGGGGAGAATCGGGTCATATTCATGTACAAGGACGGTTCTCAGGCTTGGGATGCCAAGGACTTTCTCATCCAACAAGAAGAATGTGGTGAGGTCAGCATCGAAGGAAAGACCTACTATGGAAAGAACAATCCTCTGGTGAGTTTTTTTGTAATCTCCAATTGTCATCCTCATGTGGCTGTCCTGTCCTGTCGGTCCCTGAAACAAGTATCTCATTAATTAGGCCAAGGAAGGAGGGGAGAATTCCTCCTGGGAAGCTGAAGAACGAAAGAAAGCAGCAAGCAAGGAGGAATTGTGAAGAAATCACTCTGGAGCTCTGAATATCTGTGATATTAGGTCATTTCTGTTTGTTACGACATGTGTCAAAAATGGATGGAAAATAAATGGAACTTGTAATAGGAATCTTTTCTTTTGAGGCAGCCATAATGAAAAAGAATTCCTGATTATTTATTTCTCATTTTGGGAAAGTTTTTATTGTGATGATATTTGGGAGTCCATGGTGTTATGATGCCAAGGTGCCTATTGGCAGAACTCTGATGCAAATTATAATTTTCATATTTTCTTCTTATATCAAATAATTAGTTTTCCATGTTGAGCTAGTTTCATCCTTCATTATTGTGTTTGTAGGTAAAATAATAGGTAAGGAAGATGGTCTTGCCTCAACCAAGGGAGTCTAGGAGAATAGTGCAGAAGAGGAAACGAGCAGCCAAGTGCTGGAAGCAGAAGTTACTACATCTTCCAGCTAAGCAACAGAAAAGAGTTTTGGTTTCATTGAGACAGTCTGTGTCAAGGAAGAAACTTAAAAAGGGGGAACACTCAGGACATCTGAGAAGTGGAAAGACACGTTCACGACTTGGCATTCCTGATTTTGATGGGAAGCCTGAGATCATTAAAAGGCAAGACAGGAAGAGAAACCACACAACAGGTTCTGAACTCCCTCCTCTAGAAACAGAAAAGACAGACCAAGAAAAGTGAGTTTGAAAATTTTTGTCAAATATTCATTGCTATGGAGAGACCTTGAACTGTACATTAGGAGAATTGTATTTATTAGTAGCATATTCACAACTTATGGGTACAGAATCAGAAATGCTTCTCATCACTTCTCAGGTTATTGGAGACTCTGTTGTTTGGAGGGGAAGATTTAGTAGAGAGTTTTGAAGGCATGGGAAAAGAAGAGCATAAGGGATTAAAAAAGACAGATGAAACAAAAAGCAGTGATGAAGAAGATGAGCATGAGGAAGGCAAGCAGGGACAGGGAAAGAAAGGAATCTTTGATAATGACCAGCCAGCACCAGCTTGGATTGATGATGAGGAAGAGAGCATCCAGTGAGTTTTTTTTTTTCAGTGCCTTTAGTTTACTCAGGATAAAGTTGATGTAATGCCTTCTTCATAGAGTCCAAGATATCATTCCTAAAGCTGGGATATCTCTGAGAAATCCCTCCATTCCTTACAAAGAGTTTTTGAAGAAGAAATTTTCCCATATTGCTGGTGCTACACCATCATGGGCAGAGATGAAAGCAAAGGAAAGGAACTCCTCAGATTCAGAAGATGAAGATGATGTCATGCTCAGAGTGAGAAACCTACTGGAGACTCTCTGTAGCAGTCAGTTCTCCTGTGGCCCTTGTGGCATAAATATTGGCATAAATCTTATTAGAGGACAGGTGCATTTGTAGAGCAGAAAGGCCAAGTCAGCAGTAACATGCTGAAATATTCCCCTTTGATGGATCTCAATATGGGCTCATCCAATGGTGGCATCATCCGAGCCTGTGAATTTCATCCTTGGGCTCAGGTTGCTCTTCTTGCTTCCCATCAAGGAACAGTTTCCCTACATGAGGTGAGATTGCTTAATTGTCCGTGTATCTCAGTGAGGATTATGATTACTTTGTGTAGACATCAAGGTATTGCTATATTATGTATCAACAAGCACTGGCTTATTTTGATAGAAGCCAAGTGAATGTTGTGTTGAAAAGTCCATAACATTGTCCTGGACTTCGTACAGGTGAATGGGAGGGACAATCCACTTATTCAAGCAGTGCACTTTAAGAAGTACCACATCAGATCTGCTCACTTCTGTCGAAATGGAGAAGAATTCATTGTTGGATCAAAATGCCCATATCACTTCTTCTCTTATGACATGAAGAAAGGAAAGATAATCAAACACTTTCTTCACCAGAAAGAGCAGAGTAATTCTGAGGTAAGTGAGGTTGACATGTTTTTTTCATTGTGCTCACATTGAATTCTCTATCAACCATGTTCTGTCCCCATTCCAGAAGTTTCTCGTATCACCAGATGGTCAATATATAGCATTTTTATCTGCATATGGAGCCATTCAGTTAGTGACTGCAAGAACAAAGGAATGGATTGGAATGCTCAAAGGGAATGGAGATGTAGCTGGTGCATGCTTCTCCAAGTCTGGCAATGATCTCTTCACTTTCACTGGTAGATACTCTTTCAAAATTATTTCTTTCTCGATTTTTTGGTCCATGATAAATAGTTTTAAAAAGTAATTTCTTCTATTGAAAAAAGGTTTAAGTTTGCAAGAAGCAAACTTAACTCAAATCTTCTCAAATTACATTCAGAAGCATAGCTTCTATGAGGGCTGAACAAAAAGTCATTGGAACACATCTCTAATTTCACAACTGGTTAATGTCTCAAATATATCAATTCACCAGTGGTCAATATGGTCACCCTGCATGTCACGAATGTGTTGCCAGATTTCTGGGAGACATTTTATGCCATTGCCAAGTCCGCTTTTGTTCATGTTTGTGCTAAGGCACCCCTAAGGCAGTATCCAGAACATGCAGTTATCTGTTTTGCACAGAACATGACTACCCTGTGGGCCACAGTCGAATATGGCAAGAGAGCAATGCCACATGCTTCTTGCAATCTTATATGGCATTTCCTGGCATCATGACCACATCCTCTCTGAATCTTAATGAAGGCTCTTAGTTTTTCACATGAGAATTCCATTTAGGATGTAGCTACACTCTGAGATACAGTTTTGAAAGGACAGTTGTGTTGTTGTAATGACTTATTGTACAACCCTCATATACAGGGCAGGGTATGACAAAAAAAAAAGACCAACAACTTTCAATCTAAATATCTTCTCTCCTAATAGAGTTATTTTCTCAAAACTTTCACTTTGCATATATGAGTATGTTTCCAACTGATACCTCTAATTTCACCCAATTTGTTGTGCCAAAGCAGTTCTATCAGCAATTACTGAAAAGAAGTTAGACATTGAGAATTGACAAGAGCTCCTGCTGGTAGTGTCTACACTCTTGCTATGCTGCCTCCTAGGAATGGGGCATGAGTGTTTTCTCCACTCCACTACCAGCAGGAACTTTTCATGAAAAATAACTATTGGGAGGGAAAGTATCTAGGTTGAAAGTTTTTGGTATTTTTTTTTTGCCATACTTTGTATACATTGGTCAGTCAAATTAAAATGAGAATTTTTTTCCTTCTTGCAGTGAGTGTATTATTTCTCAAAGTTTTCCCCACCATTCTTGAAGCACAGATTCCAACGCTTTACAATATTGTTTATACCAGTCTCATAAAATTTATGCAATTGCTGTTTGAACTGCCATGTGACAGCCTCCTGCACTTCGTCTGTGTGTAGGTGCTATGCTATGCTAGATGTTGATTATGGTATGAATTGAGCTGTAACTGATTCCAAAATCTGCAGTCAGTTCATCCAGTGAAACATTTCTGTTGCTCCATATGAACTTGTCCACCCATGTGGTAATTTCTGTGGTGACATCGTTGACCTAATCTGAGTGTGAGTCATCCTTCAAACTCTTGCACCTGCTTCGGGAATATTTGCACCACTTGTACACTTGCAGCTGTGGTAAAAAGCTGTTGGTCTCAACAGCACCCATTCAGGAATGTATTCAATGAGTGATGTGCCTTTAGCAGTCAGAAATTGAATTACAGCATGCTGGGCTTCCCTGGATGCACAAGGCACTGTGAACACCTTATTGCTTGAGTGATTGCACTGTTCTTTCTGATCACATGGTGTTGCCAGCTATGACAGATATTCACACAATTTCTGCAAACATATACTGAAGGTATTGGATGTCCATCAATTGGGAATTATTTTTTATCATGATTTTCTCATTTTCATTTGGCTGACTCATGTAGATGTACTCAGAGATAGCAATAAGTTGGACTTACATTCTCACCTATTAGATGGCAATCCTTAAATGTAGCCTCATGCCACCTGGTTGAATACCATGTGTGGGGCATTTCTACAAGGGACAATTAAGGACAGTTATGATCCAGAAAGTATGAGGACTGTAGGCAAGGAAAAGTGCCTGGATTAGCTGGGCAATGCACTTTGCATCTAAAGTTCTTGGTGATTGAAGGAAATGTTTAATTTCATGCTAAAAGGTTTTCTGACAAAATTCTGATGACCGTTTCCGCATGTATTGGGTGTCCATAAATTGGTTATATGAGGGTGATATTTTTATATAAAAAATAACCTCTTCCTTCTTTTGTTTGTGTGGAATGACTGACTGTCAAACTCATGGTGTTGCAGCTTTCTTTCTTCCATGTATACATGGCTTTAAAATAATTTCTATGACCCATATTTAGGCTAAACCCTTTCATATCTGAATTAAGAAGACGAATAACTAGGAAAATCTTTTCAAAATTTCTCTTCACAACCTTGCTTTTGATCCAATATGCCTGAATAACAGCCTGCTTGAGCAAACAATGTATTTGCAAATAGTGTAGGCGGCTCTGACGTGATCGTAATTTACTATTAATCACTAACAGAACGCCAGCGTGTTCGAGGTTAGAATGACTCCGTTGACTCCTTCTTAATAATATACTGAATTTATTATGACAACCTATTCATATATTCCTAGGCTTGGCAAACTAGGTATATGCAGGAATTTTCCTCCTGAAAGAAGACCATGCTTGTTCTTGCTGAGAGAGACAGCCTGAAACCCACCCATTCCTGCTCATGATCACTCAGTTTAAGAGTTTATTTAGCTATGTCACCACCCATAAGATTCTCATAAGAATCCCCCTTACACAACACTTAACAGATCAGCATGTGGTGGTGTGACCAATGATTGGCCTACCATCTTCATTTCAAATAGGGTAAAGGCACCAGTTTGTGGACAGGTTAAGGAAATTTTCCTCTTGAAAATTATGTAACGGTTGTTGGGGTAACCAAGAAACCACCTGATTGGTTCCAATGGGAGGCCATTTATCATAGTTTGATGCCTGTACTCTAAAATAAAATGTTAAAAATATACTTTTCCATTAATTGCTGTTTAAATGAATATGTGCTGATTTTCATGTGTTTCATATTTGTGGATGGCCTGGTTTCAGTTTGTGAACATCCATAAGCATAGTTTATGGACACCAGTTTTTGTCGACATTTATGAACATGCATAGTCCAAATAGAAAAATATGGGCATGGGACCTGTACAGCAATTATATTTATCTTCAATGATGTCCTGTTAAGAAACATCATTGGAAAAATTAAGGAATTCAGGGGTGCCAGGTCTGGAACTAAGCAAAAATGTCCAAGTTCACTCATGCTGATGCATAATTTATATGGTGGCTGACAGGCAAGTGCAAAATATGGAGCATTTGAGGAAATAAATTTTTGGCATGAATTTTGCAAAATGGCAAAAAATGTAAAACTCTCCACAAATAGGCACCTTTCCACAAACTGGTGCCTCTACCCTACTGTCAATAACTTGAATTACTCTCTAACTTGCAGTTACTGCCTTTCCCAGTGAATATCCCTTAAGGAAATGTATTTTTTCCCTCTATAAATAGAAATGCACTTAGAAAAATTTATCATGCATATGGTGCTGGGAAAAGGCTTCAAAACTCTTCTGTCTGACTTTTCCAAATTTTAAAGTGAGTGTGTTGCACATTTTATATTACTGTATACATGTATGTACAATGTTGCATTATGCAAATAATGCTGCATCCTGTAACAATTGTATTTCTCATGCCATGTAATTTTTTTTTTGTAGATTCTGGACTTGTGTATACATGGGATATGAGGAGTCAGCGTTGTAGACATAAATTCCAAGATTATGGATGCCTGCATGGACGAACACTAAGCATTTCTCCATATGATCAATACATTGCCTGTGGTTGTTCATCTGGCATGGTCAATGTGTATGAGCTGCAAGATGTGCTGCAAACTGGTAATCCAAAGCCACTCAAGTCCATCACTAATCTTGTCACACCTGTTTCTCATATCAAGTTTAGTCCATCATCTGACATCCTTGCCATTGCTTCTGATGAAGAAGACAATGCTATTAGACTTGTAAGTTCAAGGTATCCCAAAATATTTGATTAAAAAATACCAATTACACCTACTGAGTCAGCCAGAAATGGCTTATGCTTCATTCCAGATGAACACAAGGTTAATGCAAGTCTTCCGGAACTTCCCTCAACAGAGACGGAACTTGAAAAAAGTGACTTGCTTGGATTTCTCCCCCCAGGGTGGTTATTTGGCCATGGGAAATAACATTGGAAGGGCTCAATTGTTCAGGTGAGTGAATTACAATTGGAAAATGCATTGCAGATTTGATTGAAATGGAGGTAACTATAAATAACTCACTTCCCCACCGTCATGGACTTTTCCTTCTAAAGTTTCTTCATGGAAGCTCCATACTTATTCATATTATTGAAAGCTATGAACAGGGTGAGTACTAATTCCTGTCACATTTCAATATATCTTTCAGGAGTAATAAGAGGTCCATACTTATGAACTATGTTGTTGGTTCCTGTGCAACAATGTATTTCCTTCATTTCATGCACAAAAGAATGAGGGAAACATGATTCAAAAATATTCCATAGAATAAAAAGTGAAGTTGGCTGCATGAGTCATAGCATTAACAAGTACTAATGGATCTGCCAGCATCCACCAGAAATGATACAAAATCAACTAAAACTGCTACAGACTGAAAGTGTTGCCAATCTCCCCAAGAGTAGATGACCACTCTCTAGCACCTGTCAAAATATAGAAGATCAGAAGCTTTTACAAAAATCCCAATTAAATCTATCTGTAAGGCTTTTGTAGAACTGAATATGTCCTTTTTATCCATCAGAAGAGTTCTGAAAGGGGAGAAAAGATTAGAACGTAGTCTGTAGACAGAAGTAATTGCTCATACTTAAGTACATACACAAGTGCTATAGTTTGTAAGGATTACATGCATTTTCACCAAGCAATGTGTATTAGGTAGTCATGTGCATCAGCAACACACTGACCACTCATAAAGCAACAAGGCAAATGTATAGCTGCACCTTGAGAATAGAGTTATATGTGTTATATACATTTATGCAATGTTACAGAGGTACAATGGAGAATGGGACAATAATTTTGTGAGCCAGTAGTACCTACTCCAAAAATGTATTTTGCATCTGAATGAGATGTTTGGCTAAATAGGAACAGTATTGGGCTGTAATCACCCAGGAAAGACTAAAACAGTATGCAACCTAGAAAATGTGCCACATGTTCATCAAATCAAATCAAATGACCCCTGCAACTGCAAGACTTAACATCAGATTTCTTTTTGTGGGGGGGCCTTAAAAACAAGGTTTATACCCTCCATATCCATGACTTTGACCACTTAAAGGAAGCAAGGATATAGATAGGTGTTGGACCATCTCTTGTTGTGTTTACATGTCTGTGGTGCCCAGGTGAATCATGAAATGTATAACACATGAAGGTGATGTGCTACATTTGTGTGGATGTATTCTCTTTATTGCTATTTTTCAAACATTTTGTTTAATTGGCTATCACACCTTGTTTGGTAAATAAATAAACCATACATTACATATACATATATGTATATGTAATAGTAAGGAGGTAGGTCATTTCTAGACAAGTTGTAAACTTCAAGTGGCCCAGGATGGCAGGGGGGAGTCCTAGAGCATCAGACACTGAAAAATAAAAATGCCAGTTTCTTTTCAAATAGAAAGAATAGACCCTGGGAGTTAATATTGGGCCTGCAGGTCATGTTCATACCAGTTTTGAACTTAATATAAAAAGTTGAGTGACTTCATTTTTGAAAACCCATTATGCTGCATTGAGCCCAATTGAATTATCTGCATTTTATATTGAAAGTATGGTCATAAGAGAATGTTGGCACTGTTACATGTGAAAAGAGACTTGAATTATGTAACTTACCCAATATAGCTATTGTTCAGTATGTAAGAGGTATGCTTTGACCTGCATGAATTATAGCGTAGACTGTTTGTGAGCTTTTAAAGTCTTTTAATACCTAAAGAAAGTTTCCTATGACTGTGAACAATTTATAAAATTGACATGTAATGAGGTTTTGAACTGCTCTACTTACAGGCTCAAGGGGCATCCAAGGTATTGAAGAGATGACCTATTCTCCATGGCCTCTAACTTCACTAATTCATTGAATGAAGAATCTTCATCAATCAGCTACATGCAAAACTTTATTGAATAAAGAATTTTCATCCACTCCCTTCTCACATACCAAAAAAATAATAATTGGATCACAGAAGCATCATCTACTTGCTTATTCACTTCTTTGAAAAGAATTTCCAATAAACCAATCCAACCAAGATGAAAATCTCCATCAAGATGATTACAATTAGGAAGAGCTTGTTGGAGATTACATTCCAGTACATGGAACGAAGTATACGTCGAGTTTTCCCCAAGTCTGTGTCTGTGTCTCGAAGTCGATTGCGTGCGCGAAGAAGTGCCTCCCGCTGTTCCCCAAGGTCTGCTATCACTTCTGTGCCTATCTGCTCAGTCTCAGAAGCTACCTGAAAAAAAGAGTTTTTGCTCTTATTCTATGGATGGGTTAGTGTTAGAGAAGGAAAAGAGAATAAATATCTTACTTGCTGAGACCGAGCTATGCTCTCTGAAGTACGAGATAATATTGCTGTTGTTGGGAGGAGAGGTTCTGTATCCATTTCAGATATCATGGTTTCCCTGCTGTCAGCCATGCAATTTTTAAATGTCCCATTGAACAAGTTGATCTTTGTAAAACAAGAGAAGGGAGCTCATTAGGAAAAGAGGCATATTCATGACTGATTAGTCCAACTGCCCAAAAATGAGCAATCTGCCTTTTATTGGTTTGTATCATCACAATAATACTTAGGTCCCAAGATCTTTTTACATGCTTCCCTTCTCTGGAAATAATGTGAATTCTTCCCAGCAGTAATGACCATGTCATTTCCTTGGTCAGCAGAAGCTCCTATTTTGGGGAATCTCCTTCCCATTTTTTCCATATCCAGTGTCTCTTTTGGTCCAAAAATTGCTGTTGAATGGGCACATGAGCAGCATGGTTTCTAGTGAGCTGGGCTCACATGGCAATGGAGTTTGGTTTGAAACCAACCATGTCAGGTGATTATGTGAAAGTTAAAAAAAAAAACACTGTATACTTGGGAAGGGAGACCCCTGACTACTAAGTACTCCTATCTCTAGATGTAGTAAGTAAAAAATTTATGGAACTTCACTCATTTGTTTGTTGGTGATGCTGGCAACCTCTGCTGCTCCTATGAACTTAATAAATTTTCTTCACTTGATGAGGCAAACAAATTTGTCCTGCTACACAGATGCATCCCTCAAGATAGAAAGATGTGGCAGAAATTGCAAGCTCTCTTGGGAGGTCATGGTATACACTCAGCCACAAAGGCAATCTTAACAGCATACACTAGTGTAACTGTACTGATCTCTTCTTTTTTTTTTAATTTGATTGGGCAATGTTTCAGTTCTCAGTGGAACAGAGCAGAGCAACCTTTGCCCTCCACTAGTGCATGCCAGTGCAGCCATTGAAACTTGTTTTGGATTCCCCTCCACATTGTTTCTTCTTTATTGAGTGTAAATATTTACTGAATGGAATCATGGTCTAATTCATTTTCCACTTGAATTGTCAATTGAGGGCCTGCATCTCATGTTCAAAGAGCTTAAACTTATATAGAAGTGATTCAAAAATTTAAGAATGGATGGCCCCATGTAGGAGGATCTAACCACACCAGTGACAAAAACCAAGATAAATGAAGGGATTTGAGCAGTCTTACATTCAAGTATCAAGGACTAGAATGATGACATTTTAATGTTACAATTCCAATTAAACCTAATCATAGTTAACTTATATGTCATGACCAAATCTATTTAGCAGTAGTTCCTATTCCATGTTTAAAAGAAAACAAATCAAGGTAACTTCTATCAAACTTTTGCAACTCCTCTTTCACCTCTGATATCAGTGGTTGGCAATCCTTCACTCTTGTGCTCCTTCTGTAGCACACTCAATGTATGTGCTCTTAAAGGAGGGAATGGAAGCTTTTGTCATAGTATTTTTCATTCCTGGCCTGGCATGGTCGTCCCACTCTCCCTCAGAAGACCCTCATCCTCCTACAAACCATTTGAGTGATGGAGTGACTAATGCTCTCTACTATAATTTAATAGACACTGAAATACACAAAAGATTTTTAATATCTAAATTCCATATGCATTCCTTCATTCTTTATGGCAGCCAGAAAGTTTTGGCAAGACTCAATCGTTTTAATGCACTATATCCAGAAAGTTGCTAACCCCTGGTTCAATGTGTCATTTACATGTTTAAGTGATTAAGAAAAAGCTAAAAAGGATGCACTCGCTAAACTGCATTTATACCATACAAAACAAACACAATCATTTTCATGAGAACTGGTTGATAACTCCATATTTCTTTCAGCTTATTCATAAATTTGATGTCTTTACTCTGCAAACAGAGCTATCGATTGTTACCTCCTCTGTAATAGTTACTAACTATTGCCTCAACAGAAAGTAGCTCTTTTACATGTTGACTGCTGCATGACATGTAGGTGTGTCACATTTGCCATAGGGAAGAAAAGTGGTTTCAAACCCCTTGACAAGTCAACATGCTAAATGCATGTAATTCCAGTTGGAGCATAGAAAATGAATAATCCTAGTATATAATGCTTAACCTATAACTCATGACTGGGATTCACAATCCCAATAATAATGGAGTATGTTCTTTGGACACCCATATATCCATAGCTTTCCTTTCATTTGGACAGTACTGATGGCTGTTGTCATGGTAACAGTTTGCCACTCACCGCTGATTTGTTGTGTGGTAAAATCACAAGCAATCTTGAATGCTTTGTAAATTTTCAGTGCATATTACAGCAGCTGTGGTGCTAAATGATGTCACATGATGCTAGATTTTGACTTGGATAGCCAAGTTGTGTATTTTTTAGTTTTGTTAAGTGTTTTTTATTTGTGGGCTTCCACCATGGTGACAGCTGCACAACATTTTGCTCAATGAAGACTTAAAAAGCAATACTACTTTTTTTCAATTTTTTGTTTAAAAGATTGCACATTTCTTGGTTCTTGTTTCATTTCTCATTTTGTTTTTGGCAAACATTTCCAGTTCATTACTGTCATCTATGCTTCACAGCATTGTATGGTGTCTTAGCTGACAAAATGGTTTCTATTTCATGCTATTTGGACAAATACAACTAAAGATATAGGCTTTTTTGTAAGATAAAAAAAAATGTATTTAAAGGGATGCCAATAAAACTCAATAGGCAGGGTTAACTTATGGCATTTAAATTTGCCTTTTAAATGTTAAGAAAGTGACATCAAGAAATTGTGTAACATTATGAATTTATTTGGTGATTCACAAATATAAAAAAAATACAAAGGTCCCCAAAGTAAGCGTAACTTGTTGCTGAAGTCACCATCTTGTCCAGGAAACAAGACCAGATATGGATCTGAACTTGTTGTCACTGTTCAGTATAATGAACTGAGTCAGTAGTCATCATGAATCAATATCATGGCCATGCAACATGATGTGAGATATTGCTGTTTCTTTCCACCGTGTCTGATATAGACACTTTTCACAGAAGTATGTTCCACGCCATTCCTTGTTCACAGAGTACCAGATGCAAGCAGTGATGTGCTTCAGTGCTTCATTCTGGACAAAGGAGAGAAGTATTACTACAACAGGGAAACCTGGTTCAATAATTTATCATAACATGATTCACTTGCAAAACTATTCTTAGGAAAGTATGAGTGTATGCAAAATGCATACATTCATTACCACAGAACTAATGACAACTGAAACTTGAAAAACTGGGCATCATGATTGGGTTCTATCAAATTGTCAGCTAATACCCAGTGATGTATTCCTTTTGCAACCTTCCTGTGGATCCTTGGAAACAATATGCTTCAGAAAATGAGATTATGATGGCTTCAATACAAGAGGGCATCATCTGATACACATTTTGCCCTGAGTACTATATGGTCCTAACTCTGAAATCATGCCTTTTCATCCTCCTTTAAAAATCATTATGGCCAGTTTCCATAATATCCTCCTGGAACCTTTCCAATGACCTGTTACATATCCCTCCAACACCATATAGGGTGAGGTATAAGTAATTTGCCCCAATCACATTATATAATACCAATGTATAGGAAACTTGCACCATTACTAGAACAGCAAGAACAGTTTGACTCAATGATTAGGCAACAAGATGGTGTCCTAGTACATTGCCATCACAGTGTAGTGAAAGTTTCTTAAATAAACCTTAAAGGCAGGTGGATTGGACAACTTGAAGGACCACTTGAATGGTCTCCTATGCACCTGATTGGGGAACTGCCACCTAGAAACTTTATCCAAAGGGGCCTCACAATATTGACATTAAAAAGGTACATCAAGAACTTTGAAACCCTAGAGCAGTGGTTCCCAACCTTTTTTGCTGTGACCCTTAATTGGCCACCAACAGGACCTCCCAACCCTCAGGCTTATGATAAAATTTAAATATGTATATAAATATCTTTATAATGAAATATGATGCACTTAGAAAAAACTTTTTTTTCTTCTGATGACCCTTTAAGACCCTACTGAGGACTCCCTACAACCCATATTTGGGTTGTGACCCAAGGTTGGGGAACCACTGCCCTAGAGGATTCTTGGCATAAGAAAATATTCTTGTCCCTGATCATCATAAAAAAAATATGCAGATTTGGAGGGATGACAATTTGAACATCTTTGTTAGTTAGTAATAATAGAATGCAACTTAAAGCTACTGAATGAGGATGTAATGCTAATTATAATTTGGGGTAATTAACTTTTGCTTCAACCTGTATATGGCCTACTATAGCATTAAGGCACAGTCCAATATTCGAAGAAAAGTTCTGCTGGATGAAGTTGGAAACAAAGGGTATATGAAAGCTATTACATGAGGATGACAATGTCTCTCAGCAGCCAGCAAATAACAATTAAGTTCATTTAAGATGCACTTTAGAGTACAATGTGAGAGGATGTGGCTTGGAGTGGGAAGAGGAAAAGTTTCAAGCCTTTATTGCATTAGTATTCCATATACTGCCTTGATACAGAGCTCTTGTGATGTTTCACCATGGGAAAGCCTGAGACCTTCCAAGAAAGACAAAAGTTCCTTCCATTCCAATGGAAAGCATCGATGTGACCTCTAACTATAATGTTGGTGAGACCCCCTCATCTTCCTAATACAAATGGGGTAAGGAAAAATTGGTATCAATAGATGCACAAACAATACTCATTCACTTGGTGAAATAGATGGAGAATCATGTAAAGATCATATAAGGGGATGTTTAGAGGCTCAAAGGAGAAAGACATTTTGCAACAGAGTTTACTTTGAACAAATGGATTATGAAATATGTCTTGACTTAGGCATGGTTACATCACACAGGGCTACTAAATGATTTTTAGGCTTACTCTTTTATGGTCCTCAAATTCTAGCCTCATCAATAATCAATTAACAAGGGATTAATTACATCAAAACTTTTCATGCAGTGGCATAGGATAAAGAGTCATGTCCTTTGCATTTCTATTAGCCTGGAAATTGGTGGTTTCCAAGGTACTGATCTATTGACTGTGATGCCTAAAAATTCAAGTTGATGTGAGTAGTAACCCCATAGTTTCACTTCTCCCTGCATACCTTCATCAAGACATCACTCTATTCCCCCATGAGAAGGGCTTTAAGCTTGTCATCAAAACATGATGACAATTGGTGGAATCAGAGACTCACTTTGAGAACATCATATGGGATTCTCAATGGCCCCTTAGCAGCACAGCCTGAAGCTTCTTGGTCCTCATCTGAGGCACCTTCTGAAGATTTAGACTTGACTCTTCCAGTTCCAGTTGCACTCCACATGGGCTCACTTGTCTAATAACCACACAGGTAATAGAAAAGAAACAGATTCACTCTATAACTACAAATTATTCACAGAAATTTAACTTTGAGACTCCATCAATCATTAATCAGTTCAGGGTGTGGGACAGCAGAAATCACAAGAGAATACTAACATATTCTAGTAAAAAAAAAATGAAGGCAGTTTGCTTGCAAGGTATTAGTAAAAGATAAAATCCATATTATATTTAGGAGGCCTCAGATGAAGCCTTGTGAAAAGCTTCACAAGACCTAAACCCTTTCAGTCCAGGTGGGACTCAGGAGTCTCGCACTTTCTTCGCATATGTTATAGGGTTACACAGGAATGCACGACCTTGAAACCATGGTGGTATTCTGAGTCACAGTTTATAGTAGTTCACCTCACGTTGTCAAATTGACAGCAGTCCACAGTGATTTGAAGCTGCTGTATTTCTTCAGGCACTTCAAAAATGGTGTCATATTTTGCATTTATTTCAGCTAATACATTTCTTTCCCAGCCAATTTTTCCTGTTTTTTGCAAGTTTGATAATGGAAAGTAGTACAGGAATGCTGGAAAAAATATAACATAAAATAGGGATATGAGTACTAGCTGAACTAATTAAATTTCATAATTTTATTAATTAATTTTAAAAAATGAATAAAGATTCATTGTTATTAAGGAAACCATTTTAAAAGCATTTTTATTTTATATGAGCCTTGTTGAAGCCAAAAAAGTATATTGCATATTTTTTCAATGCCTAGAACATAATTCAGGACTGAAATGGTTAAGGTCACAAGGTAGGGTCAAAGATCAAAATATGTGGTGAAGCCCCCCCTTCAAGAGGCCCCCCCGCCTCTTCAAACTATCACTAAAACATTACAGGTGTTCTGTGTGAGTATCTTTAAGGACCAGTGGTTGTCCAGAGCTGAGACACACCTTAACACTTTGACTGCCGAGGATTGAAATGCCCAGCCAACCTCTCCTTGCCAAGCACTTTTCAGAACATCAGTGGAGGTTCGCCGCCCTGAACACGTCAAGACTGCCAGGGCACAGTGGGCTGTGCGAGGGGGGGTCAGGCAATAATAGTGTGGCACAGGAAGAAATCTTCCATCAAGACGTCTCCGCACAGCGTCTTTCAAGGAAGTATCCGATGTTTCACTGATTTGAACCCCAAATCTTTGGAAAATCAATCTCACAATTCCAAATTTTTACTCTCTCCTGCAGCCAAGTAGATCCCATGTGTTATTTTGTTCATAATTCCAGAATTACCCATTTATGAAACATGAAAAATCTTTTGTCATTCATGTTGCTACAACTTGCAGAAAATGAACTGGGAAGAAGCAGAATAGGCCAAAAAGAGTTACAGCCCTGAAAAGTCAGAAAAGTGCTAATTTTCCACCTATCTCTAGAATTACCCCCTTGTGACTTACAGGGGATGGGATCACCAGCTGCAAATCATGCATCATTTTTGTTAGGACATTACCTCACTCAGGGGTATAAGCCAAATGGAGATTAAAGCAGTCTTTCATGGTTCACCTTTTTAAAAAAATCTGCCAGATTTTTGACAATATTAAGGAAAATTTCAATGTTGTCAATTTGACAGTATCAGAATGGCATTTTTGTTCACCCCATCTATAAAATATTATTACATTTTCATGAGTCTGGGTTCCTATGTTTGTTGGAAAAATTTGGGGACAAATCTGAGACACTGGATTTTTTGGCCTATTATTGCCTGCTGACCCACTGTGTGGGGATTGAAATGTCCAGTCAAACTCTTATTGCGAAGCACTTCTCCCACGCCGAATACGCTATATGGTGTGAACAGCAGTGGAGGTTCGCTGCGCTGAACATGCCATATGGCGTGAACAGCAGTCAAAGGGTTAACTGTCAATTTGCAGTCAAGCAGTCAATTTGAATTTTGCTGTCAGTTCAGAAATGGCAGGACAGTTAATAGGATCTTGCCATGGCTGCTTCAGCATTGAAATCTGTAATCTGTTTTTGAGTTATCTAGGTTATTTATAGACATATTTTTAATTCTTCAGACAATTGATGTGTTCTCAATTTATCTATAACAACAGATACATATTTCAACTCTGCAGTTTCTAGACTTCTGGGCCAGTGATAAGGAATTATTGTTTGTTCTCACATGGATTTTGGAAGGGGAGCACATATGCACAAGTTTCACCTGATGATTTTGTTCTTGACATTTCCCCCTCAACTTTGTCATGCTCAACTTATAAGGAAGTCCATGTAAGTCTTCATCAGGCATTCAAAATTGGCTTTGCCAGGGGTTTTTTTTTTTTGCCATTCCAAGCTTTGGACAGAATTTTCTTCAGTGAGGATTTAATTCAAAATTTGGTATGCAGGTCTTTATATAGTACTATGAGGAAATACATCTGTTTTAAGTAATTACCTACTCATTTATAGGGTGTCTCAAAAAAAAGTTAACATTGCAAGAATTGATTTTTCTTGCATTATATTACAATTTAATTTAAATTGTTGTACCGGTAAACATGGGAACAATTAAGCTTTCCGATGCTGAAGATTGTATGAAATCAATGATCTCAGAAGTGAAATATGGAAAGATAAAGTTGAAACTTTTACCTTAGTAAAATTCAGACATGCTGATGAACCACTGCAAACACCCTAAACGAGAATCAGGCAAGGAAAACACTAGAAGAAGCTAGTGAGTCACAAGTGTACTGCTGGAAGGCTCTTATTCTATTGCTGGATCTTGGGCATTTTTCAGCAAAAATGCCACAGGATTCATTGAATGAAAGAATATTCTTGGAAACCCATCTCTCTCAATGTCTAAAGCCAGAGCAGGAACAAGTCAGTCAGTAGTAGAAAACCTTGTTAAGTGTCTCATGGCATGTTGGTGTCAAGGAGGAGCATGCCTGGAACATGTCCTTTAACCCTTTCACAGTTCAGTTTTTCTGAAACCACCCTGGAGGACAACTGATATTTCAGTAAGTGACTGAAAGGATTATTGATAGTGTGTACATTTTTTTTAGTCTAATTTTCACTGTTCCTTATCTTGCTTCAGAAAGAGTCGATTTTCATGTCGCATACAGCAAAAGAAAGCTAAATCTCTTCTCTTTATAACTAATGCAACATTTTCAAAATCAAGTTCAATACAAGAAAAAGTCATTATTACAGCATTAACTTTTTTGAGACACCCTGTACTACCATCCAACCATAACTGTTATGATGTTCAGTTGTTTCTCACTACTTCCTCATGTCATGTGACTGATGCTTGAGATAAGACCAAAATAATTTTTCTGATTACTGAATGGTGAGGCACTTCTCCATGCTGAGTACATTAGCAGGCTAGCATACAGAGCATATTTTTCACTACTCTCTTGCAAGCCTATCTGTCAACTTCTATGCTCCCATAGGAAAGTCTACTGCAATCTTTACCCTTTACTTAACCCTTTCAGTGTAGAGTTTTCATGGCATAATTGCTGCTGCAGTGTTGGGTATTTCCCACCTGCTCCCCCTTTCTCTAAAGTCTTGATAATGGTGCAATTCCTATAAGTGAAACATGATGCATATCTGTGGCATTTTATATTCACATAATATATAGTAAAATTGTGGCCTATTTCTATGAAAGCCATCCCAGGTTTTGTTCAAGAGCCAAGTCAGAATAGTGGAGTCAATTACCTCATGCGCCTAGTGGGTTTAAGACTGGTTTAACCCATTTCTGCCTGAATTAATATTTTTCACTCCATTGTTTCCTTCTTGCTAACACTTGAAACTATTTAAAAAATAAAAAAAAGCACCACTAGAGAACAGCTCAGTACAGTAAATGCCAAGCAGATGAAACATGAATTATGGTTGTCTAGGATGAAAAATTGGCAGTAACCATTTCATTTCTACTGTCTCCTTTCCACTAGGGGTGGGAAATTTGAAACATGGGTCATTTTGTGTCAAATCAACACGGTGTTTCAAGGTGACTTTCTCCCATTTGAACTAAATTTGACAGGCTTATTTTTACCTATTAGAAAGTTACTCACAACAATTATTGGGTTCATTTGACATCTTGTTCCTCCGATATGAAGTCATAAAAATTCAAGCCAAAATGCCTTCTTTCTGCACTATGATACAGTCTTCCCCCTAATAATTTCCGTTCAATTTGAGCTACAGACCTCTTCTTGGGCTCATCAAAAGCTCTTTTCAAACTCTTTTGAAATATGTCATCAGGTTTTCAGTAAGTGCTAAAAGGTAACTTTTAATTAGGTCATCATAATGACCTTTGACCTCATTACCAAAAACAACCATGTTAAATTTTGAAAAAATCTGAATGGTTTGCAGGCAAGATATGTAGCTACCTTTATGTTAAATTTCACCTTGGGCCCTCTGGAAATTCTTGAGAGAACTACAAAAAAAGAGGACCAATTATTGCAACAAAAAAAAAACAGAATAAGTTTAATACAGATAAGAAGTACATAATTATTTATTATTAAAAACGACATAATTTTCTTTTGGTGTTCCACATAATTAGCTATCATCTTGACCAACTTGTTTACTAATTTGTACCTATACCAATGGAAAGGACTGGAAATGAACTTAAAAAAGGGGTCCAAAGATGAGCTCTCTAGCTTAATTGGGATAGAAGTTTCAAGAAGGAGACTGCATTGGCATACAGAAATAAGGCATTTCAGCCTCAAATTTTGTGACCTCATACCAGAAGAACCAGGGGTCTAATGAACCCTATATTTGGTGTGGGTTAGTTTCTTACCATTGTTGATGGGTACACCAAAATTCATCCAAATCAGAAGGGGTCACCAGAAAAATCTCCTCCTAGTGTGTTGATTTGACACGGAATGATATGTCACGCTAAGCAGAAATGGGTTAAGTCAACAGCAAAAGCTGCAGAAGGAGGTGATATATGTGGGCCCATGTGTTGGGGAATTCTCTTCATCATTGACCTGTTCCATAGAGTGTTTCTCACTGAAATTTATTCACTTGATGTAGACACCCACAAAAGTAGTTCCCCATTGCATGAGTATCCAGTTAAGGGAAAAAACACATCATACAAGGGTCTTTCATTTGGAGTTTTATTATAATTATAAATGGGTGAAATTCATGTCTTATGCCTCAAGTATATTATTTCAATAGCTTTTTATTGAAAACTAATGAAAATTTCATGCCTATTTTATGCATTGATAGAATCTATAAAATAAAAGATAAAACAAGAATGGTACCTCTAAAACTTTGAGCATTAATCCTTAGCTCTGTTCATTATCTATGATATTGGGTAATTTCAATATCAACCTCAGTTGGTAAGCAATGAGTTAGCTTGTGAGTACAGGTAGCTACAGCTCTAAATAGTAGGAATATTCAAATGTCACCTGTGGAAAATGTCCTTTGCTAGCAATACTTAGGTTGTAATGGTTAGGGTGAGCCAGCACACAGGAGGTTTAGGCTTAAACCCAGCAAGCTGCAAGCAGTATTCATCTGGGCCAACAGGACAACAGGCTTTTGGGCACTATTTGCTCTCACATGGACTCAAGCATAGGCAACTCCAAGCTTCATTGTGACAAGTATGGGTTTACCAGCCCTGGTGACTAGATTTGATGTGATGGCCTAAGTGGAATTGAGGTTACCAGCACAATCCCTGGGTCATGAAAATAAGACAGGGTAAGGTGGGGGGGGGGGAATCTTTTGGTCAATCAGTCTAAGAAGAAAAGAACCTACTGTGCTCAAAAGGTTGTGTTAGTCTATCATTACTCTCCCCTGAGTAACCTAATAATTGTCATGACCCTTTCATTTACAAACCCATCACAAAGTATCAGCATATCCACCCCAGTCATGAAGTTCATAAGCTAGCCAAGGCAAGCCTATGTATTCAATGACAGGGGCACCATTACTGCCTATCTGTAGTGATGGTGTGATACTGCACAAAGAAGAAGGAAGGTATATGCAAAAGAAGACCACGACAAAGCCATTCCTTCTGAAGGAGCAGCAGAGAGAAGGGAAAGAGAAGAAATCACTGAGGCAGATTAATAGTTGTAGGTACACAGAGATAGAGATGTTCTCCATCATAAAAAGAATGTCACAGGTGTGAGATTTTAATTGCATGACTTATCACTGGAAAGCAACCACTGAGAAGAGAATGATGCTTTACTGAAATAAGTGATTGGACCTTTGGAATTTCATGGTTATGATGACCAATAGCAACCTAAGTTGCCTCACCTAATTAGTTGAAACCAATTGAAGAATCCTTATGATGACCAAAATACCCCCCCAAGGGGTAATATGGATCATTCAAATGCCACTCTTGTCATTTCAGACTCCACAAAAATGAAATGTATGCATATATTTTATATGCCAATTTCTTAACAATATCTCAAATTTAAAGTGATTAGGATGATCATGCAAGAAAATTATACCACTAGCACATGGGGGAAAATATATCAATAATAAAACCATAATTTAAAAAACCCATAGTGACACTAATATCCCCCCCACCTTATTATCTTAACACATTGCAGACAGGTCATGTAGAAAGGCATGATTGTCTGTCCTGGACATTAACAAAAAATTACAAATTCTGTGCCCTCAAAACTCAATGCCTGCTGGCAAAACACTGAAATTCTCATGAACCATCCACAATGTGTTAAGGGAGACAGAACATGGAAGGAGTGGCAATGTTGTCTGTGATGCCAAAGAATTGACCTTCATCTACTGTGTTCAGCTGCTTTTGGCATTTGTCCTTGTCTGTGTGTCCATAGCAGTCCAGATTCTTCGCTTTAAAAAAAAATAATAATAAAACCAGCATCTCACTCAATTTTGTTCCCTCTTGGAAAAAGGCCTGGTTTGGTGCCAACACCTTTTTCAGAACTTCTTTCATTTTTAGAAAGGAAGGCCATGTGTTGCCCAAGCATTCTGCATGTGTTGTTAGACTGCAGCTTATCACTTAAACTTAAAGCTACTTTAATTCACTAAATTCACTTTCATTACTGTGAAAACTAGTTATGGAGACCTATGGAAATGATGCAGACTGTTCCTTTTTAGCAAAAATTATTGCCAACAAATTTTTCCTTGCAAATTTTTAATTTGGAATGGGATCAGGGCAAGAAAGGCAAGAGGTGTCACCAATCTTAGGTTCAGGTGCAATGTCTTGCCCAGCTTTTTTTTTTTCCTTCTCACACTCTGTCTTGTTATAGCTATGTGAATTCCCATCAGTGATGCACCTGCCAATTTTTATTCTAGTATCTCTCTCTTAGTCTACTGATGCATACCTGATAACCATCAATGACATCAACTGTCAATGTATCATAACTGCTATATTTTAATTTGACACTTACATTTCTACTTTCAAGCAGGATAATGAAGAAGTGATTAGTGATAGCAGGTCAGAGAATAGAGCCACAGAAGGAAATTCATCATGCTCTATCAAGTTGACCCTAATAACTACGATGAAGTTTAGAAAATCCCTCAAAAGAGGGTGACTAGTGTCTCTCAATGACCTTTGCCCTTTATGCTGGGGAATATCTTATGAATTTTCAAGACCTCAACAGGGCAGAGAAACTTTTCAAGACCTCAACTTTGTATAGAAACTTTTCGAGATACCTCCAAACTCTCACTTCTCCCAGCAAGGATGTTGGAATTAGCATTCTCATCATCCTCCACACAATCCTCCAACATCATCTGCAGAAATGCAAACACATGACAATTCAGATAGAGTAAAACAAAATTTAGATGAAACATACCTTTGTTTCATTCAAATGAAACAGCTCCAAGCAAGTACCTCTGAACATTGCATATTACCTTGAGTTTTTCATTCTCATTTGTTCTAAGCATTTCTGACTCTTCAAATCCTCCCAATGATGGTACTTCACTCAGATGGGACAAAATCTGCAACCACAACATCAGCAGGATTGAATCAGAGCTGTTATGAAATAGAATAAACTTTGAAAAAAAAATAGAAAGAAGAAATGTTATATCTGCATACACTCATCTTGTCGTCATCCTCAAACTCGCGTGAGCCAACGTCAACTTTTCCTTCCTCTAATGCAACTAGAGAGGTTTCAACTGCTTCCTTCTAGAAGAACAAAAAATGTATCTTCAAAATACAAATCAAGGACAACTAGTTGTCAAAAACAATCATGTGATCATCTCTTACCTTCTCAACTGTGAAAGGGCCTTGGATGATAGGAAAGTTGATCTTGTCCTTAAAGATTGATGGACTATCTTCATTATCTATAATCACTACTTCTTGAGGGGAAATCGGTTGATGTAATTGCTCCTTGAACGAAGCCACCAAAGGTTCCATACTGAATCTTCCTTCATGTGGTTGGAGAGACGATACAGGTTTGATGGGAGGTGGCAGTGATACTGGAGGTGAAGGTAAAGGCTGAGCCATTTCCACATTTTGCTCTCCTCCAGTTCTCTTGGATTTTGAAATGTGAACATCTTGGTTAGGAATTTTACGCTTTTGAGTTTTTGGTTTCTTGAAGGGTTTTGCTTGCTGAGGTAATGGATGAGGTTCTTCTGGCAACACTAGCTCTCCTGGGTTAGTCTTGATACCTTTCAAATCTAATGCTTTTGCTAATTTGAGGAATTCAGACAACCATGTAGCAGGAATCTGAGCATTTCCAGTATAAATGAATTTCACAATGCTCTCCAATACAGGAAATCGAACATCATGCAAAAAGATTACAGGTGTTCCTGAAGACAATGTAATAAATAAGTTCTCAAGGTATTCACTAGCTGCTGCAAGAACTAGCTTGTGGACACGCATTGATTTCTTCTCACAGCAAATGACTGCATCTGCAAAATGGCTTGAACCATTTAGACCTTTCATCCATGATGCCAGAACTGTCTGATGAGTATTCCATTCCAATGAAAATGCCTTCACTTTCCTGGAGACAGTTTGTGCTCCCATGATTTCACAGCACTATGAGAAGAATTTCTGTAAGCATTATTCTGAATATGTCCAATGACTGAAAATAAAATTAACACACTTAATACCTTTCTGAAAGAGACACTCATACTGTAAATGTCATTTTTTTAAATCAGCACTTTGTGAGATGAATAACTTCAAGAACTTTAATGGGACATTCCGAGGTACAGGAGAGGGACCAGACTATTTATTATGTGGCTAGGCTTATATGAAAATATACAGTAGTATTTTTCAGGGTGAATTCCCCTAATTAACTAGAGTTTCAGACAGGAGTAGTATTTTATACTCCTGTCCTTTGCCTCCTTGGGGGAAAACTTGGGTTCATATTTCAGAAGTTTTCTGGCTTTGCTGCCATCCAAATTATACATATGACAAGTATATCTCAATTCATTCACTGTTGATAACTCTGTTGTCAATGGAATGATCGGATGCAAAATCCTGATACAAATGGAGACAAAAATCAAAACTGCAAGGGCAACATAGTAAGGGATGCTCCAATTTGACACAGAGAATCCTTGGCAAGTAAGATAAGGCTTGATGAAGTCATAGATGTTTGTGGAAGGAGTGTCATCGGTGATAAACAGAGCCATTCCATCTACCGATGATGGGCCACTTCTCAAGACATCTCGTGCTCTGATATGAGCATAGGCAGCATTCCGAACATACATGGCTTGAAAACAAGCTTTCCCTGACCCCACTCTTGTGATGCACCCTCCTTGGGCTTTAGCTTGCTTCAAAGAGTTGTAGATAAAATGTTGATCATTTTCTCCATACAGTGTGACAGGCCGCAAAGCAATAACACGTAAATATCCACCCTGCTTCAGCTTCATACCATGTGCTCTTAGTACTTCTTCTTCAGCACACAGTTTAGTTAGGGCATAAGGATGGATCATGAACTTTCTGTCAGTAGGTGGAAGAGCCTGCTCCTCGTTCCCTTCAACATTTCCACGTGATCCAAGAACAACATCAGATGTACTGGTATATATAAGATGAGCAACATTTTCATCAATGCATCTCTTAATGATATTCTGCGTTCCCTGCAAATTAACTTCCCACATCTGTGCAGTCTTTGGTGCATGTCCTACACTTACAAAAGAAGCAACATGAAAAACACAAGATACTCCATTGAAAATCTCAGGGAGCAAGTCCTCAATGTTTGAAATGTCACATGCCCAATACTTGATTCTCTCTGCAGGGGTACCAAGAGAAGAGACAATGGGACGAATATCCAAGACTCTGATTTCCTTTACTTCAGGGTCATCAAGAAGCATCTCAACTAAGGCTTGACCCAAGCATCCACTTCCTCCTGTGACTAGCACAACATCCCCATGGCCCAAATTTTCTTCCATGCCAACTTTCACTCGAGATCTAGCAGTCCAAAAATTGCAATCATTCCCAAAAAAAAAAAAAAAACACTGGCCTGCAAGTTTACCATCAGGCCACTGACTCACAAATGCATTTCTAGGCACCTTTGGGAACAGCTCCTCTTTCAGAGAGTTGTGACTTAATTGCTCAGTGAAACAGACAGGCTTGCTTATTGCCACATCTAATTTTTGTCACTATGAAATCAAAGTACATAGTTCCCTGAAATACATCTTCTTTGACCACTGGTGTCTTCCTGAGCAATACTATTCCAAAGTCTTAGGAGTGAAGTTGTTCCCAAATGTACCCAATAGGCCTAAAGCAAGGGAACAGGGATTCTCCAGTGGGAGTATAAAACTCATGTTTGAAAAAAAGCAAAAATCCATTTAAAATCATGTAATGGCCAAGGCTCTAGTATAAAGGTTACATTAGGCCTAGGTCAAGGCTGTAAGAATATATATTAGGGTTATATTTTGGAGCTTTTTACTCTGCATATTGGACAAAATAAATCTTGCTATGGAAGGTAATGCCTGTTTTTTTTTTTATTATACAGAATTAGCATAATGATAAAGTGAGTTTTTCATTATCTCCCTTCCAATACAACAAAAACTGAAATTTTATTCCCCTCTGGATGGAGATGCTTTCTGTGGTTGCCAATTCCTTAATAAAACCATCTGCTGCAGTACTTAAGCTATTGACCTTTAGCATGTCCTACCCTCTATATGAGCTACGAGCTTTTGTTTCTTGAGAGAAGAGAACACATAGGTTGGAAGGAGGAAACAATAATCACTCTTCAATTGTTTTAGAGAAAGAAGAGTGTGCCTTAAACAATGACTTGTAAATATTCATAGGCTGGCTTCTCAGAATTCTGGATTGGATAATGTAAATTGTTCATGAATCTTTTATCTTTTAGATGCTACAATGTCTCAACATCCTCAACACCTGACAATCCATAATTTTCACATTTGTTTATAATAACACCAATAATAGTGGGATAAATAAATCCCACTCTACACAAAGCAAGACTGAAAAGAATGAAGCTAACCCAGTATTTCAAGCATCATTGTTCAACAATTTGCTGGCACCATTACATCTGATCAGTGCAGACAAGGATGCACAATAAACAAAGCTAGTCACATAAAATGTAAAGAAATGTTTAGATTTTGGAGCCAAATATATGCTGAAGTCCCCTTTCTTAATATGCCAATACAAGCCTCAAGTCACAAACTGCTGATGGCATCATGCCTTGAACAAATTCAACTAAAGGAATTTTCTTTTACATTTTTATTTTGCCATGAAACGACAGATATTACCTACCTCAAAAAATGGTGAAATATGGATTTTCCTGTTGAATTTTGTACACCCTGTGGAACAAGTGCTTATGAGGATGACTTCTGGATGTCTCTAAAATAAACTTAAACTGCATTTATAGCTGTAGAATTTGGACCAGAGGAAGAGGGAACCAGACCTACAAGGGAGTGATTCTTACCTTCCAAGGCAAACTTAATCTTGACAAAGAGAGGCACCATCTATAACCCCACCTTGACCACATCACATTAATGAGTTGCCTTTTCTGTGAGGGACTACAAAAGTTCAGCTGATACATGAGATGTTACATTAAAATGGCAGCTATGGTCCACCCAGGTGATGTGCTTATAGTTTTTGTTGAAATGCATCTACATCCGATATGGCTTGAAGTTCGATGATTGCATGAATACTGGTAACTTCATACTCTATGGGAAAGGGGGATAAAAGGCATAGCAGGAAATGAAGTAGGAAAAATAAATTATCTGTAAATATAGTCATAGAGGTATTGAAAATGTGCAGCAGCTCATGTAGCAAGATTTGAAGAATAGAAATCCAATCTAAGATAAGACCATGATCAGTCCAGGAAATCGTAAACCACATCAGTCATAGGAAAGTTTTGACTTTAATACAGTACTCCTGTGCATATTTCCCATCAATACCCAATTACCTTGGTTACTTGACAAAACAACTTTGGACAAAATGGTCTCTGCAGTATAAATATATGCTGACAGTTGAAAGCATTAGGAGGTTAAGCAGTACCAAAGGTTCATCCTTTTCTTATTTGCCCTCCCTTATCTTGCCCATCCTCCACCCCCCTTTGCCCACATACATTCATCCTCTCCTCCCCCTCAACCTGCCTATCTAGCTTAAGCTATCCTATTATTTAAAAAAAATTCTGTCCTCCCTTCAGTGTGAGTCAATGATTGATTTCACCTTTGCATTCAGTTGTAATCCAGTTGAAGTTGAACTGCAGTTTTCCATTGTTGTTGCATTGTAGCTTCAGCTGAGTTAGACAATGAATGAACTAATATGAGATTGGGATTTCGACATCCCTATTCTAGTCAAGCTTTCTTAGTGGTAGAGTTTGGAAAAAAAAACCCAATAAATTGAGCATCTCCATTTATTCCTGTGGAACTTTAGTATCCTTCATGGGACTTGGGCCAAATTTTCATGGGACAAATTTAGGATTACAACACTTTATGTTCAACTTATTTCCAAAAGTGAAATCCCCTTGGATGTTTGCTTTTTTTTTTAGAACCTTTAGTACTGCCTTAGCCAATGATGATACAGTAGAAATAAATATATTCTTGAATCATAGCCCAATGTTTCAAACCTTCAAGGCAATAAAGAACTCAATTTTAGAAGATTTTCATGAGTAATGATGAAATTATTTAATTTTATCATTAACTCTTGTGCTGTCATACATTTTACTGGAGGGACTATTATGTCCTACACCCCAATACCTTACATAGTAGCTATGGCATACCCATAACTTGTGAATCACTACTCCTTATATGCCTAGACTTCTGTTCCGAACTTTCCGCTTAGCCCCCCCAATGACGAAAACCTGGTTACGCCACTGCCTGTTCCCACGTCATATTAGGCTAACACTAAGCTTAACTTGAGCTTAGGTCCAGGGCCTGGAGCCACATCTGTCTGAGCTAAGCATCTGTCTCCACCTCGGCCAGAGTAATACAACCGAGCCACCTTCGAATGCTCAACGGCTCATCGTAGAAATCCGAGTCACGACAACACGACGTAGGACCCATGCTCCTCAAGAAATGGCATAACCACAGAGCGCATCAAAATAATATAAGTATATCCCATGAAAATTCACTAATTCCATGCGTATGAAATCCGGAGAAGCACCCCGCGCGGCAGCCATGTTGGAGTTGTATCAAAGACCCTTCTTTACGTATTTCTATCTTTATTCATCATTTTTCACAATTAATGGGAGGGCACAGGTATACGGGACAAAGCTCCGTGAAAGCCCTGTCAGAAAGAGGGGAAAAGAAGTAAAAAGTAAAAGAAGGATAAAATATTGAAATTATATAAAAGCATATACTGTACATGGTGACACAAAAGTCGTGCACCATAGGGATTTCACTGTTACAGTGTTTCCGGAATGGCTCTCCCCACGAACTCACGCACCGGCAAATAGGCGCCTCATTAACGTGCGCGGGAGACGAGTTTAGGAAAGCGCATCCTTGTGACGTCATAGAGGGGAGTAGGTGCTGGGGAATGACTCGGTTGGTAGCTTTCTTGGCTCCTATGACAGGAGACCCGGGTTCGAAACTAAGCAAATGAGGCTTTTTTTCCGAATGCAAGGCCCGTTATGGGGAAAGGGAGACCCCTAAGCAATAAGTACTTCCGTCCC